ATATATATATATATATATATATATATATATATATATATATATATATATATATATATATATATAATCTCCTTATAATATTTATATAAATAATATTTGTAATTAATTACATATTAAGTTTTTGTGATTACAATGATAATAAAAAGATATAAATTTTAATTACAAAAAATACCTGGTGAAAGAAAAAAAAATGAAAGTAGTTTTATAACACACTAGTGATTTAGTGGTAAAAAGTAATTTTAGAAGTAGGTCCTTTATTGTTAGTCACAAGTTTTGTAAATTATCATTGTAAACATTGGATATTTAATTTCTTGATGTACCAAATGTAAGGGGTACCCTAGGACTGGATTTAGATGAAGAGAGGTCCTAGGTTATTCCACTTATGAGGTCCCTCCAAATCCTCCATTCTCATGAGTAGAGGAAAATGGAAGAGTGTTAAATGAAACAATTTGAGTAAAGCCAAGGATGATGACAGGTGTTGAAAATTATTGAAGGGTTATTTAGAATTTACAATGTGATATGAGAGCATGTGTAAGAAAGGCCTATAACAGTGCCAAAATATTATACACTTTGGCTGGAGGCCCCTCTTAGATTTTGAGGCCCTACTCTTCAGCCTGCTATAAGCCTATAGATAAATCCAGCACTGGTATACTCATTTGGCCTCCCAGAAAGATAAAGAAAAGCTATCTGTCCTGATTAGACAGTGTTCTATCAGAAATCAATGCATGATAATGAATGCATCCAATCAGGCAGTGAAAAGAAAAAAAAATTCAATAATACAAGTAAGCAATCATCAAAATATAATGTCATTACTAGAAAAGGCCTTATTCCTAACTTAAAAAAAAGGCATAGGTGTGTAATGGACAGTGGCTAGGAATGAGAACTTGGAGAGTCATGTTTGAATTCCAGCTGAGTCTAGTATGTTCATTTACACTCAAATACCCTTGGGAAAGGTATGAATCCATCTGTTCTCCCCACTAGCTATAGGTTAAATAAGACTTGTATTTTAAAAAACATCATTATCTCCCCCCAAAAAATTGCTAATGGAAAAAATCTTACAATATAAAATAAATTTTAACTTGGAATAACCATGAAGGGTTGATAATAAAAAAAAAAAAAAAAACAAATCAATGGAACCTTAGGAAAAGGTTATGAAGTTAGCTCTTGCTATGTTATATCCTAGACATAATACTGTCATTGATATAATGTAATATGTAAGTGAGGATGAGTATTTGGATAATACTTCCTTTCTCACGCTTATCTGGACAGTTAATACCAAATAAAGCTCTTTTTAAATCCTTGGATTTGGAGATTAGGTTGGATAATTAGATTCATCTGTGTTAGTTTAAACACATTTTTAATTTTAATATTATTAAACTTTTTATCAATTTTGTAAAAAACAATTTTTGAGCAAACTTGGATCTTTGTACCAGCAAAAAAAAAAAAAAAAAAAAAGAAAGGTGTCAAAAGGATGGTTTTCCCCCCATGACACCCACTATTATCTTAACTACCTTCACTCTTCAACAATGTTTTAAAGTGAGGTGAATGATTTTATTTGTTTACAGAGATGTTTTTTTTACTTAAAATTTAAAATTAAAACCTTTCCACATAAGTAGATGCAGAGAACAGAGAAGTTCTGGAAAGATATCTAAAATAAAAGATGGTCATAAGGTTACACTCTCAATATGCAGCAGAGCATTGTGGGAAGGAGAGGAAAATAAATTGTGTGTATATGTATGTGCATGAGAGTGAGTGAGGAAAAAAAAATAAAGCAAAATAATTCAAAACTAGTAAGGCAAAAAACAGTCCAATATTTGAATGCTACACTATTACAAAAAGGCCTTTTATCTTTTCAAATAATATTTGATAATACAAGTAGACATTTTGATGTCAAGGAAAAGTCAATGCTAATTAACTGAGTCATCATTCACTTAAAATTAATAACAAAAAGGTCAAAAGAGTTTATTAGTATTCTTTAGGCAACTTGAGCATGTCCTGCAAATTGTAAGGATCCAAAACCAGTGTGATTCAAATTTGTGGTTCTGTAGTCAGATTATGGCAACAGAAAAGCAATTTGAATTGAAAAACTTTGAGGCTACTGCAGCTGAAGGGGTCCTTGAAAGAATTCAGTAAAAGGAGAAGTAATATTTGAAAACGAAAAATTAATATTCAGTAAATTTAAGCCAATGTATCCAAGGAATTTAGAAATGTTATCATTTCAAATCTTTGGAGTATAAGTGCAAGAGTAGGAACCAGAGGAAGTACAGATGCCAAGGTGCTAACTTATTAAAAATGAATTCTCCAAAGCAGCTCTCAGTTACATTGGATTATTTAATCAAGAGAAGTCCCAACAACTATGGCACATTCTTATGCCGTTCTTTGTTATCTTTATTGTTAACTAAAATTTTGTGGAGTGTTGGTTTTTGTGTTTTTCATGACACTAAAAAGATCCAGAGTATTATCAGAAATTATTAAAAATGACCTTTTCACAATATAGTAACATGCAAACATTAAAAACATTGAGAGAAACTATGGAAATTGCAATAAAAAGGAGGAGAGTGGAGTGGTGAGCAGCTTACCATAGCTCGGCTATTCCATGAAGCATAATACTTGAGTAAACAACAAAAGGTGTAGTTAGTTGTTGACCAAACAAACAAGTGAGAGAAAGAGAGAGAGAAATTCGACACATAAATGACAAAAAAGTGGTCAAGCCACAAAAAAAACAAAAAAAACCCAAAATAAAAACAATAGCAGAAAAAAATCATTATGAAATGAATTTAATGAAAGTGGTTGTGAAAAACAAAAAAATTTATTTTTCATTTTATTGTTAGAATATAATTTAATATTGCAAAGAGAAAAAAATTGTAAGGGGTTGATGCAAGTAAAGACTCCCCCACACAAAAAATCAAATTATTTGTCCTTTGTTTTCTTAATAATTGTTATCTTTAAAAATTGACAAAAATATTTCAAATAAAAGTGCCCCATTAAAAAGAAAATTGAAAGATCTTGGTATGAAGTCATCATAAAATTTGGCATTAACTCATTTTAACAGAGTTTATAGGAAGGAATTCTCTTTTGAAATAGGGACTGTAAAAGAGTTATTTTGGTAATGGGAAAAATGTAAGAAAAGCTTAAAGGTTTTATATATATATATATATATATATATATATATATATATATATATCTATCTCTGATATTGAGCACTTTATCCCATAAATATATTTTCCCTAAAAACACTGCTTTAAGGTATATATAAACATATTTAATTTATTTGGGCTTTTTGCATACTGCACACAAAATAAGCTTTTCCCAATAATCATTATTTTATATGTTTTATTCATTTTCCATTTTCACTTATTACTCTTTTTGATGGTTAACATAATGAATGAAATTGGAAGAACCATTCTGGAAAAGCTTGTCAGTCACAAAACTGCCATTCCAAGATTTAGAATTCTGAAACCAAAATCTTAAGTTTATATACAATTAACAATATTAAAAGTTTGTTTATTTATGCACCTTGTCACTGTGCAATGCATAATGAAATTGAACAGCAGACACCCCCCCGGTTGCATCAACAAAAAGAAAAAAAAAATACACATGCACAACATTGAATGAAGGAAAGTAATAACATTTAAAATACATTGAAAATTGTCAGCGTGCTTGCAGCGTTTACACAGGGCCCAAAGATAAAAGGCTTCCCTCATGTGTTTTTAATATTCACTAAAAGCAAAAAAATATTTATTATAATACTACCACTGTTCCATAATCATTTTTTGAAATATATTTTTCATATAAATATATATATATATATATATATATATATATATATATATATATATATATATATATACACACACACACTTGTGGATTTTTCTTCTAGCCTCTTGCTTTTCAGTCAACTTTGATCTTCAAAAATTTAAATGAAATGTCAGTCATTATCTTCTGTCTTCTTAATTCCTATTTTATTGTTCTCTCCTTAATGTTTTCTTCTTATATTCTCTTACATTCAGTAACCCCTTGCATCTTAGTGGCTTTGTTGCCTTGCTTAGGGTGAAATGATTAAAATATATTTCATGTAATAGATGAATGTACAAACTGCTAAGGAACAGAGGTAGTATTATCTATGAAAACTTTAAAGAAAATTAATATAAAATTATTCAATAATGGTGATCACAAAATTGTTTATGAAACTCTTTAACCCATTAAGCCCACTGTACTGGTTTTATGATCTGCTATCTGATCACCAAGGATAATTAAACAGCCTAACTTACAAGTAGAACAAGGCTATTCATATGAGCAACTTTGTACAAGCCATTTTTTTTTTTTTTACATGAAATTGTCAATATAAAAAGAATTCAAAATTATTCTTTGTGAAAACCATTATTGAATTATGAGTCTGAACTGATAAGTAGGACATTCATTCCAAAAGTGGGTTAATGACAGATTATATTTTATAATATCTACAGAGATAAGATAAAGAAAAAGAAAAAAAAAAAACTTCAGCAGGAATATAAATTACCATTTTGATACAGTATAAGTATTATTGGAATAAATGTTTACCTTTGTAATAATGTTACCAAAATATGCATCAAACAATTAAAAGAAAATATAAGGTTTAATAACAATTTCAAATAATTGCTGATTGGTTACAAGAAAAACAAGTTTTTATTAACAATTCTCTCTTGTAATGTATATTATTTGTATTTGTCAATCGAATGGATGTACATTTTATCAAGCAAGAAAGTAACCAATTATTACACTATGACAACATTATAGATATAGAGTAGAGAATTAAGCTGGAGGTCAGGAACATTTAAAGAAAAAAAAATTGTAAAATTATCAGATTGATTCGTTTTTAACGATGAAATCACTTTAGGTAAGAGCTATCTCCCTTGTAAGTTATTTTTATTGCTCATTTCAAGCTTGAAAAAAAAAAAATAAAAAGACTTAAAATTTACATCGTAAATGACTTTTATGATAACTGAGAAAATGGGGCATCGTACCTCTTGGTGAGAACTTGCAGGATTCGTCAGATTCTGACAAGCTGTCTGGATGGCCTGATTCGCTCTTGCAAATTGCGACTGGTCAACCAGACCAGGGTGTCCAGGTTCTGATGCAGGATCTGCAATTCCTACCAGATAAGCAGACTGAAAAATATACAAACAACAAAATGATTATAAAAAGAAGAGTTACATGCCACTCGGTTACAAGTTCAAATACTGTTAATGAATTTTTTTCTCAACTATCTTGTATTAAACAAAGAGAAGCACATTTAACAAGAAAACAAAGCTTTCACTTGCTGCATTAAAAATGTTTTTTAAATTGAAATCTACCTTCTTTGCATAAAGTTACAGATCATTCTACACATGATAGCATGTATATTTAAGTTAGAATTATAGCATTGAAAGAAAGGAAAAAATGCCAGGATGAGGCTAAAAAATCTTTTCTTCATTCTCATAATAAACATTTCTGATAATGATGAGAGAAGATCAAACATATTTGAATAAAACAATAATAATCTTTGGACAGTTTCCACAAATTGTATCCGGATGTGTGACAACTTATAGGCAAAATGGAAAATGTGACAAAAAAAAGTTGATTGATTTCAGAAAAACTTGTTTGAATTAATTCTTGCTGCTTATGCATTTTTATACACACACAATATATATATATATATATATATATATATATATATATATATATATATATATATATATATATATATAATCTCAAACAATATAAAGGCAAGAGGAAAACTTTTAAGGCATTTTGTTCCTTGAGAAATTTTATCAAATCACTTGCCTTGATAAAGTTCCTCAGTGAATGAGATGTGTTGCCATGAAAGTTTTCTCTCCTATACACACACTATATATATATATATATATATATATATATAAAACATGTGTAAGAGTGCATTGAAAAGTTTATAGCTTGACCCAATTTGCAAAATCTGACCAAATTAACAAATATTCCATTTAAAGATTCTAGATAAATGTTATTGGTGCTGACCTGTCATCATGACTTCAGTCATTTTCCCACCACTGTAATGTAACTTCCTTGTGCCTTTTCTATAAATACTTTCATGGTAATTGTTTTGATGAGCTTTCCTCTATGGTACCTAGACTTTCTGAATTTAAGCACAGTACCAGATTGGCAGCAAGGTCTCATCAATTTACAGTTAAATTAGTTAGATGCAATTGTAAATTCTCGGCTAAGTTTCTTCTCTCACATTTGGAACACTCTTCCAGATACTTGCTTTCTGATCAACTTTGATCTTCAAAAATTTAAATGCAATGTCAATTCTTATCTTTGGTCTTAATTCCAGCTGTTTTATTTTTTTCTCTCTCTCCTTAATGTTTTTCTTTTTATATTCTCTCTCAGTCAGTAAACCCTGTGTCTTAGTGGCTTTATTGCCTTGTTTGAGGTGAAATGATTAAAGAAAAAAATAAAGTAATTATGAAAACTATAGCAAATGAAAACAAGGCTATGTGGATTAAGATGAAAAGAAAAATTGATTGATTTGTTTTTTATGGCTTATCAACCCTTCGTGGGTTATTTTAAGCTAAAACATTTTTTGAATTAGAAGAATATTTTTTTGAGTGAATATTTCATTAGCAATTTTTTTTGAGAATAATGATTTTTCTAGATAAAAATTTTGCTATTTAACCCATAGCTAGAAGAAGAGATAGATTGCAGGGAGGAGGCAAAAGAGAACAAGCTAAATATATTTATTCCAGGCACAAAGAGATATACCTCTTAATATACATAAAATATTCTAATTATATACGGCTTAATTATTCAACAATACAATGAACAAATTATTTGTAACAAATGTATTTCTAAAGTTTTTATATAAATATATTTGAAACTTTTTGTCAGTGAAAATAAGACACATAGAAAAGCAATTGATTGAAGTGAATTGAAGATATTTTACTCACCTGTGCCGCAGCCTCAGTCAAGCCATTAACAGATGAAGAGAAACTTTTCACAGCTTCACAGAAGCCGTCAATATCTGTTTTCTTTGCATCATTTGATATGCCAGTCATAGCATCCCCAAGAGTCTATAAAAACAATATTAATAAATTTACATTAATTGTTTTTTAAAAATAATTCTGCAATCAAAATATAAAAAAAAAACACATACAAAGAACATCTTAATTAACAAGTATTTAAAAAGCAATTTTTTTTTATGAAGATTTATCTTAAAAATCAAGCAGTAAATTCATGTACATAAATTGATTTTATTGGAAAATTCATCAAATGTCAGCCATCTTCAGGTGATTGCTATCAGAAAACTTTAAAACATTTAAATACATTAATTGAATCAATTGAGTATTTTTTTTCTTAATTGTTTTGTATAAGGTTGGGAAGAATACTTGCATATCATTAAATTTTATGAAGCCTTTTGTTTTATCTATTTCAACAACTTTTGAAAATCTGTATGACTGAGGAATAAAAGTTGTAGAACAGTTTTTGGTCTTGACATTTTTTATAATTTGTTTTTGATTACTAAATACTTAATAATTTGACATCATCCTGTCATAATAGATAATGTTCAAGCAAAATTAATTTAAACAAGAATCTTGAATTTACCAAATAGAGAAAAATAAAGACATAATCCTAAGTCAAGAAAAGGACAATATTTTGAGGGCAATGAAGAAAGAAAATTATAACTTTATCCATTACAATAGAGAGGAAATATTTAACATCAAGAAATTTAAATATTGTTGAGAAAAGTAAAAGCCTGTTGGATTCTCAAGGAATTATCTAGAATTTATCTAAATGAGAGTTTTCATTTAACGAACAAGAAAGTTCATTAACATATGCTGTTTATAAAATGGGTAACCAAAGAATAGTCCTTTAATTCTTAGATTAAGGACATGTTAAAATCTAGAATCAAAAAAAAAATCTTCACTGGAATAATTTCTTGAAAGAGACAAATAGGCCAGGATAAAAACATTTTCACACCAAACATCGGTTCAACAGAAAAATGACAAATCAAGAAGAATTTGTCAAATACAACAAATAAAACAAAAAAGAAAAGAAGAAAAAAAAAAAAAAAAAAAAGGAAATTTCTGAACTAAATAACAATATTTGAAGGTTTGACATTAATATTTAATAATTTTATGAGAACAGTTGTTGAAAACATTTTTAAAATTTTAAATGTTTTCACTTTTCTACAAAAGGATTTCAGACACACAAAATAATGATATTTAAAATAAATTTCTATGCGGAATAAATTTTAACTTTTTTAAAAATTACTTATGCAAAAACCTTATTTAACTTTGAAATTATTTTAATGAAATCAGTTTTTATATCACTGAGTTTCCATATAAATTATCAATTTAATTCAGGTTTTAAAATGTTCCTTAGGTGCCACAAGTTAAAGCAAGTATGATCTAAAACTGAAAATTTTTGCTTTTTTAAAAACCTGAATATTTGAGAAAGAAATCACTTTAAAACAAAAAAATTAGACTTTTATAGCATGACTATGTAGTACTCTAAAACTAAATTCATAATTCTTTCTCAAATATTCAGGTTTTTAAAAAACAAAAATTTTCATATTTTGAATCTCTGCAAACTAATGGCATTAAAAATGAAGAATTCACAAGATAATGATATGTAAAATTAAACTGTAGCCATTTATCTGAACAGGACCAAAATATCAGATGCACTTAAGATACTGATTAAAATAGTGGAATCAAAAATAAGATAAAAGGGAAGAAAGTAATACTCTAAATACACTTTAAAAAGTCATAATAAAAATCAATGAAACAAAGAAAATGAATAAAATTGCCAGGTTAAAACTCACTAAAAGAATATCTGCACATAAACAAATTGATTAAAGAAATGTAGACAACTGAATAAAGAAGAGAAATAAATTTCATGAGGTGCATGCAACAACAACAAAAAAAATGGATATGACAGCATTTTTCTTTTTTTTTGAGAAATGTGGCCAGAAAACTTCAAATAATCACACATATTAAAACCTTATTTAAATAAAGAAAAAGGATTTCTCTGACATGTTTTTTTATGACAAATTTTGAATTTAAACTTGATTCTTCTGCAAAAAGAAAACTTAATCCTTATGCTGTAAACAAATTTTGGTATCTTGAAGTTTTCTATAAGAAAGAAAAAACATCTATGTAGAACATGACAAAAAAGCACTTAAAAATATGGTAAAACAGAAATTGACCACTAAAACTAAACAGAACAAAACTTTCTTTCTGACTTCTGAGCTTACCTGCAGTTCCTTAGATGAGAATGTCTGTAGGCAAAAAGGAATGTACGGAAAAGAAAGAATCAACAGAGACATAGTATTTAGTTTGAAAAGTTTTCATAAATTATAAACCATAATCAATAATAATTAGATTTTAGATTTTTCAGTAAGAAGCAAAAAAAAAAAAAATTGAAGGTTATTTAATCTGATTTATATATTAAAACGATAATACTGTACTTGGACCATACCTAAAAGTAACAAAAATAGCTTTTTCTTCCCACAGGTGAAATTATTTAAGTCTGGAAATCAAACTGTATAGTAGTAACACTTTCTAAATTGGTATATAAAAAAAGAAAAAAAAAAACATCTGAAGTATGTAGACTTTACAAATAAGGCAGTTTAATGGTCAACTGATAAAAAGATACCACCTCTTGTTAAACAATTTAAATATAATGAATGAATCCAAATTCAAGGAACTATTTTGGCTTTTCATCCTCAAAATAAAGAAACATTAAGTTAAGAACAGTAAAGGAATTACAAGAAAGAAAGAAATCCCAAATAAAATTTAGGAGATTGTCTACTTTATACTTTTCCCACTGTTTTTTTTTTTTATTTATACCAATTTTATTATTATTATCATTATTCTTGTCACTTACCCAACTCCAGGTAGGTCTTGTGGCCTGCAAGTCCAGAAGCACCTCTACATGTTGAGGTCTTCTGTTAGTATAAGTAGCGTGATTGTATCTATTGCTGCCTTACTAGGCCTGTCACAGCTTACAGCACCTAATATTCTTGAGTGATCACCCATCTAGATACTGACAAAGTTCAATGCTGCTTAACTTCGGTGATTGTATAAGAACCAGTGTTTTAACATGATATGGTTGTAAGCTGTTATTATTAACATAATAATGATAAGCAGCAGCTAAAGAGTATGCAGTTAAATTTATACAAATTTCCTATGATAAAAATCATCTCTTCAACATGGAGGTAAGTGGCCATGGCCTGCAGATGATTTTGCAAGCCAGCCCCACTCCTGCACACCTTTTTACAAATGTGACACATAAAAGACTTTTGGAGAGTCTTGAAAGTGGTTTTCTCTTTGTATACTTTCAGACCTGCAAATTTTATTACAAAACAGACATAAGTACCTTGCAGGTCTGTTAGGAAGGACATTCTTATAGTTGGCATTGGACTGATGATTTTCATGTGATCTTTGATGTCTAGCAAATCTGACACGGGATAGAACCACCATCACACAGATGTTATATACAAGCTCAGACTGAATATCTTCTGGGATCAGGTCTAAATCACTTTTCCTAAGAGTTCTTTTAAAATTCAAATGCTCAACCCTTTTGACCTTAAAATGATTACAACCATCAAAAACTATCTTTCTCATATTCTGTCTCTTTTCCCCAGTCTTTGACACTAATTTCAAGAGGTTTGTCTTTAACATTCTTAAAACGTTTCTTGGGTTTGTGTCTGAGACACTTACCAAGAGCAGGTTTTCTGTATGAATTGAAGCACGCACAGTACTAGATTGACAACAAAGTCTCATCAATTTACAGTTGAATTGGCTAGTTCTAACCGTAAGTTCTAAGTTACTTGCACTTCTGGCTCCATGCTTTCCAGCCAACATTGATCTTCAAAAATATCAAGTGTTATCTCCTGTCTTCCCGATCACTCTTCTATTTTTTCTGCTCCATCATAATGTTTTCTGTTTTCTAATTCTTTCACACCTCATAACCCCTTGTGCCATAGTAGCTTTATTGCCTTACTTGGAGTGGATTTAATTATATATAATTTAGTGAAATACATCTGATAGATGCTTTAGCATACATCATCATCAATTTTTTTAGCTGAAGTCTGTTAGAGGTTTGAGGTCTTGCATCATGCTCCTTCATGACGACCAAGCCAATTGTGCATACCCACATAATTATTTATTTATGCAACTTACCTTGGATATCTGCATCACTGAATCAAGACATTCGAAGTATGAGAGGTCGCTGACTGGTTCATTTGGATTTTCCAACAAACTACGCATCATCTGGAAAAACAAGTAAAACACAGCATAAATACAAAAAAAAAAAATATATAGCTTTAGCTGCTTATCTCTCTCTCTCTCTCTCTATATATATATATATATATATATATATATATATATACACACACACACTGGGTGCAGCAGAAATACTTCCCACATAATGGTGAGGCATTAGTTAGATGAAGACACCATTGCCACAAATGTTTTATTATGTCGGAGGTGTTTCTGTCACACACTGTATAATAATTTTCATAATATTATCTAACAATGCAAGAACATTATTGCTTATGAATTTGTTGAATAAATTATTCTGGCTTGCATATTTGCTTTTGTATTTTCTTCTTTTACAAGGCTACACCAATCTTCTCAAAGGAATGTGTGTGTGGCCGGGGGGGGGTATCTTTATTTCAACCATAAAACAGATACATTCAAAGAGTACTGTCTAAGATTTTCTCAACAATAGCATATGCGGTTCATCTGGGGAAATATATTAGGTGTATGCAAAAGTGTCATACTTTTATTAAAAACTCCTCACCTTACAGTGGGTGGTGGTTATGAGGTCTGGAAACTTTCCTCATGCACCTAATATTAAGAGACCTCTCACTCCTATACATTACAAGCTGTATGCATATTGAGGACTAACAGTTTGGTGATGTCATTAGGTATTGTAGGAGTTGCTCCAAGTTGGTGGTACCATGCCTCTGGCCAATAAGGTAATTATCAGATTAATATTTTAGGGCTATTGGTGCTGGCTGTTGTTTCAGCAAGAAGATTTCATTATATGTTGAGGTGTTGAATAACATAAATCAGCTAAATGACAAATTTTATTTATATTGATCCTATCTATCTATATCAAATATGCTAGTTTGCCGGTACTGGTAAAATAGACACCAAGGCTATTTTAATGGTAAATATTAATAGTTTTTTTAATAACTAAGAATATATCTCAAGACTTGATAAGCCAACCAACTCCATTCATTAAGAAATCATCCAGTCAGGGATCTATAGATACTTGGCTATTTTGTCAGTGATAAAGATGCTATTCATGCCCTGGGCTGCATTTCTGTAATGAAAATTTCTCACACCTCACCTAATTTTATATGATAAAAAGTACATTTAAAAATAAAAAACAAGGAGAGGATTAAAAAAAAGATAACCACGGATTCGAAGTCAGAACATTATCATTAATAACTCTCTCCTCCAATTTGCAGACCCTAGTTACTATATTCTTAATACTTGATATAATGCAAAAATAACAATGACAAAATTGGTCAATAATTAATTTTAAGTATTTATATTGGGACTCATGCATGCAATTATAAGTAATCCATTATAATATTTTAAATTTTGAAACCATATTTATTTTTGGAATATGAATTTTTAAACTGTTTCCAAATCTTTGTCTTTCAATCATTCCATCTCTGCTGCTATCCACTTCTTCCACAGCTATGAAGCATGCTGCACTGTTTGGGAGCTACTGGTTTAAGCATTTTAGGTGTAGATTATCTCAAACAACCTTATGTAAGTCTGTCTTAGTTTCATTAAGGATAATATTGTAGAATATTCTTAAGTAGAAAGGTTGTTTTTATTTTTTTTTATTTTATTTTTTTCCTCTTGTCTCTCTGCCTCCTCCTTACCTGTATTTGCCGAAGCGCATTGTCACACTCCTTCTGGCCAGGAGCAGATACAGTGCAGATGTTAATCAGTTGATTGATACTGTCAGTTACTCCTCTGCAATAAACAAATAAAGAAAATGAGAGAAGCCCAACAAACTACAGATTCAAAGTTTGGTTTTTACATTATTCCCTCCACTTTCATTTTGCTCAATAATTGACATGGGAAAAATTCCAGTGAGTGTGAAACTATACCCCAATAAAGAATACCCCACCTGCCTTCTTTTGCTATTTCACAAATCATTTCACAGTCTAAAACTAAAAACAGTTTCTTTTAGAATATCAAAAGCACTTTTTTTTATTTTTAGAATTTTGTTTCTAAGCTATTTTTCAGATATCCACTTTATTATTCTTCAACACAGTTGAAATATAATGCCTGTTCTGCCCTTTAAAATTCATTATCAAGGCTGTCTAAATATGCCGGAAGCTTATTGCCAGGCAAACATTGTCAGTTTCTAGAAGTTGCTCTAAAATCTCATTGCGGACCTTATGCAAAAAATAACTTTTTTACAATTTGAATAATTTATCTTGATTCATTTGGTTGTGTTCTTTGAAAATTAATTGACAGAAAAGATAAAATTAAATCTGAAACAAATCTCCAGTGAAGAATGATTCTATAAGTTGAGAAAAATTGTTTTCCTGTTAAATAGGGTTTTACAAGTATATTTTTGGTAAAACTTCAGCTTATTAATCTTTAGCACACTGCATTATTAATATTCCCTTTCTTCTGCATTCTTTTTCAAGGTCTCTCAATTGTATTATTATTCTTGTTAATTTCACACAAAGTTGTTTTCTGTTGCCATAGCAGGATATGACAACACATCTATGAAATTCAAACACAGTATTGTTCAGGGATCAGTCACTTTCAGTGGCAGGATAAACTTTTTGTACAGCATATTTTAATAAGGTTAAGTACCCAATATTGAACCCAGAAACTTTGTTCAATTGAATATGATAATTTATACAGTTCAACTTAAATTATATTTAAAAGTAAGGGTTATTGTCTAATAAAGAAAAAGTTCATAGCAGTTTCAGTTACAGCTTTGCAGTTGAGGTAAGTCAAGGTCAACAATGCTCGTGCTGATTAAAGTTATAAAGGTTAATTATTAAATATAAAAAGTAAAAGACAAGTCATTATATAATTGCAAGCTAATGACTAAACACACATTTTTATTAATGCCAAGAAATTTAGTAAAAAATTAAACAAAGGAATTCATAGTCTTAATTTTAATGGGTTTACAGAAAATGGTAAAGCAAAATAAGTCAGATTGGATTGATGGATTTTTTTTTTTTTTTTTTAATAATGTTTAGCTACCAATATAGATAAATTGTTCAAGCTTATGTAGTCTTTGAAGTGATTCTCATCATCATTCATTCAGTTAGTGCATTTTGCACCACTGTCATCACCACTCTCCTGCATCTTACAATTGTGATTTGTGGTGATGTTCAAGGCAGAATAGTACAAATGCTTACTGGCTCCTTTTGCACTGGGTATGTTGAGGTTACTCCATCCCTTCTCTCAAAAGTTAGAGAAGCAGACCTACAGGGCCCAGTCTTTCTTGTTATTTTACTAATAGCCAGGTGGAAGAAATGGAATCACACATTTCCCAAGGGTATTAGCATGTAAGTGAATGCAATGAACTCGACTGGAATATGAACTCAGCTCTCTGATTCTTCAATCTGTTACTCCATTGTTTCTCCCTAGTTTTATATTAGATTGGAACAAAATAAATGTGTTTTTTTTGGCTTCTTTTTTTTTTTTTTTTTTATTACTCCTTCTGTTTATGCTTATATTTATCTGAAGGGTGCTGCAAAGTTTTTGATTAGCACCTTTTCCAAGCTTTAAATGCATATACACACCAATATGAGCCAAGTCAAAAATGCTCCAGATTTTATCAGGATGCAATAAATTCACTGCCAGATTGTTGTATAAATTCTAATTTTTTACTTGGACAAATAAAGTTGGATTTGAGCAGTTATGTTTTAACTTTTTAGTTTTAAAACTACTATTAAATTGGCTTCAACCTGACAAGGATTTTAGATCCAATTTCAAAACCAAGACCAACCAGTTTTTATAAAATAAAATTCAAATCCCCTGCACCTTTAACAAAAAAAAAGAAAAAAAAAGAAAAGAAACAGAAAAAGAAAAATGTCACCCCCTGTAGATAAGAATATGAACTTACCTGGCAGCCTGTGTAAGTAAATTCTTTGCATTAGGAGCATTAGGGTCTGCTGACACAGACTTTGCCACGACAAGTAACTTGCTAGACACGGTGGACACACTCTTGAGACCACCAATAATCTGAGTCTGAGTTTCGGTGTCCTTTGTGACTCCAGCCATAACCAAACCACTGTCAACAAAGTTTTTGTAGGCATGGCCATAGCGGTTAGATGATGCCGCTAACTGTTGAGGTGTTCCTCGGGATGAAGTCACAATGTCACTGGCAGCTTGGTTCAAATTAACAGCAGCACTATTCATGTCAGCCTGGGCCTCTTGGTAAGAAGCGTTTGTTTGGGGAATCTAACAAGGAAAGACGACAAGTTTCAAAATTACACACGGTTTGGAATTAGTGAAAAAGGTTTTATTCAATGGCAAAAAAAAAAAAAAATTTATTCAAATATTGTCATTTCTGGGCATTTTTTCAAAAAGGATAAAAGTAAATATGGAGAATATCTGGAAGTAAATATCTTCCTTAAAACATTCAAATAAAATATACATTGAAATCATTGAAATATTAATGTAATAATCAATCTTAAATAAATTTTACTTGTATAAATCTTTTTTTTTTTTACTGCCTTTTATTATCTTTTGTTATTGTTTTAATTTCTGCTCAAATCTCCATGACAGGGACTGATATTTGTGAAACTGACCTATATATATATATATATATATATATACACACACACAGGTTGTTTCAAAAATACTTTTACAAACTTAAGAGGTGCATTTCTCACACCAAAACAAGGACAAAAGTCCAAATAAATACTTGCAAATCCTTCATTTTTGAGTTAACTTTAAAGAAAGTTTGCAGTAGATGACGCTGTGTTGGCATGTAGACTACGTTACATTTTTCATTCATGTATATTTGTGGTTAATCTGAATGGCAGGATATTAATATTGTGAGCAGGCAGATATTATTTTTACATACAGCCGTGAGAATGGTAATGGATGTGAAGCTGCATGGCCGTATCAGATTATCTTTCCAGACCGAAGACAGCTGAATCATCCAACCTTCGCTGATTTGTGGACATATGTTTATATGAACTTTTGTCCTTATTTTGGTGTGATTTTATCTTTTTAATTTTGTGCATGCATGTTTTTGATTTTGTCAACTGCAGAGTATAGTAGGATCAGTTGGGCACTGTCTGTAAGAGAAAGTATTGGGCCAATGGGCCATACTAAGGAGAAGGAAACTGAGATAACGAATACATTTTTTATACCTCAAGAATAGTATTGGGGAATGTCATACAATTCCCCTATATATATATATATATATATATATATATATATATACACCATAGACACTCCTACACCCTAGTTTCTTTTTTCATTACCTGAGAAGTGGACAAAGCTTGACTGGATTGAGTAATTCCTCGGATTGCATTATCAACATCACGCTGCCCTGGCAAACAGTTCAGGCAATTATTCAGTGCATTTGAGACACTTTTGGCAACCTGAAAATAAATTCAGTTCATAGATGATTAACTACAGATGTACATATGGTACCAATTAAAGAAATTTAACACACAGTATAAATTAATGAGGATCTGTGATTTATTTGTTAATGAAAATAGCAAAAACAATTGAAATATAAAGCTGCAAGAAAAACATCTTAAGAAAAATGTATGACGTTAAAATTAATGCAATTGAATATATAATCTTTTATGCCAGATCATTTTTTATTTTGATTTATTGTATATACTCAATTAGAGTGCAAGTTTTTATGTTTTTTTTTTTTTTGGTTTTTTTGGTTTTTTTTAGACAATAAATATTTGGTGTGGGGGTTACATCATACACAGGTAATTTCTTTGAAGAGGTTAAAAATTATGCCTTTTCGGTAACCAGTTGCACTATACACAGGTAAATTTTTTTCTGGAGGGGTTAAAATTCATGCCCTAAAATTCAGAGATCACCCTATACATGAAACTGACTTATATATGATTATATGATAGTTATTTATCAAGTAAAATAAACAAAAGATATAAATTTAAGTGGGAAGATTTTTTTTAATACGATAAAAAAAAAAAAAAAAAAAAAAAGCATACAGTGTGTGAACCTCTACACCAAGCCTGCATAAAATATGGCTGATGAGAGCCACTTATCACATGTGAGTCTACCCAGTATGACTCAAAGTGTTTTCAAAATAGTAAAATTTTTACGACCATTAGAATATATTCAGTAACTAATTGCATACAAAAACTTCAGTTTTGTGGAAGCCTAACTTTATTCAACCAATATTTCACTCTAATTAATCCCTTTTAACTCTCTGGAGAAAAAATGAACAGAAACAATTTTCTTGCCATTCCTCCCTCTCTATGTTTCCACTTTATGCATATTGAATAATTTCCTCAAATAATTTACTCTTGTGATCCACAGCTAATCATCTGTGATCAATGTGATCCTTTACATTATTTATTTGTGCAGACCTGCCCTACACAATTACAGTATAAAGAACATTTTATATCAGGTGGAGAATCAATTAGCAGACAAAGCTTAAATAAAGACTTATTCAAGATATTTGAAGAAAAGGTTAATTAAAAAAAAAAAAAAAAAAGCCTCCAGTAAAGACACCAGAAAGGTGTCCGATATAGAAAGCTGTAAATGTGTTTATTTTAGCATTTAGAAAATTTAGAATAAGAAAGAAAAAAACAATCAGTAAACGGAGAAGTCAGGATAGTTTTTGATCTTATGAATAACCAAAAATTATTTTAGAGAGAAAAAAATCTCACCAATAAAATTATGATCAGATGTATAGTAACAGAATCTAGATTAAAATCAGCAAAAGATTGTAAGTTAAAAAAAAAACAAAACAAAATTTGTTGCCAAAAAGTTCTATAAAAAAAAAAAAAAAAAAAAAAAAACTGACAATAAGTAATAATAAATATTTATGTATTATGCTTTAAATATTAATCCCATGTAACCTTAAAAGAAGGGGGGGAACAACAATTGTAGAAATGAGGAGACAGCAAAAGGAAAAAAATGAGTTTAAAGTTAAGAACTAACTCTATATATATATAAGAGAAAGAGAGAAGAAAAAAAAACGGCGAGAGAGTGTTTTACCTGTGCCAATCTTTGATTTGCTTCTGGATTTTTGGGTGTGTTCACAGCTTGCTTTGCTTCATCTAAGAGTTGTTTGGATTTCTCTATGATGTCCCTAGCATTGTTGATGATAAGCTCTTGAAGATTCTTGTCATCAGTAGTAGCTGCAACAGCACGTACAGAACTAACAAATTTCCTAAGGGCATGGGTTGTGTCCCTTGCAGCAAGACTGGTATCATCTTCATTACCCTAGAAACAAACAGACAACGTGCTCAAAGATATCCACATGAACCATTTCAGAAGTCACAACATATCAGACAAAAAAGCAATTATAATTATGAGGAGGTGCTGAAAAGCTATCAGTTCAACCAAAATCATCCCTGACAATAAAGAGAAAATTTTATCTTTGGTATGCTGGTTAGATTTGGGAAGGTGGGTCAGAGGCCAATCACTTTTCAACACTCGTACATTTTACTTTTTAATCATTTTACACTAAGCAAAGCAATAACAACACTAAGATGCAAGAGGTTACTTTTTACAAGGGGTTACAATTTTATTTTTATTTTAAACAGAATTCTAAATGATGCAGTTAATACTGCTTGGAATAAAAATTCCTGGGAAACTCAAATTTTATTTGACAAAATTTGGGTAAAACAAGGTTTACCCACAAATTAAGTTGTTTTCTGTTAATTTTCATTTCAGAGAAATTAATCCTTGATTATGATAACCTAATTGTAGTTACCTGCACTGTTGCTGTCAAAAGTTGTGCCATAGAGGAACCGACAGTCTTGGAAGTGGAACCAAGTTGGGCGGCTGATGATTCCGCCTGCAAGTAAAAAAAATAAATAAAAATAAATTCCTAAGTAGAGAAAGAATTAAATATAATTTTCAGCCTGTATAACGATGTGCAGTTTTATTTTAAATATAAATGAAGGTAATTAAGTATTTGGAATTAGGAGTAGAGTGGGATGAGATTGTTTGCTTATTCAAAAACAAAGTGACTGGATTATACACTTATCATTTGAATCAATCTCTAAGGGAAAGAAAAAGTTTAATTGATGAAAATAGTTAAAACATTCTCATAAAAAAAAAAAAAAAAAAAAAAAAAAAGAAAAGTGGAGCATGTGCTCTAATCACATTATAAGTTAGTGGCATTTTTATTATCACAAGATTTAAGAAAGGAATGATCAAAATTTTTCTGATAATGTTTGTAAAAAAAAAAAAAACTGATAAAGAGCAGACTGATATTTAGAGAGAAATCTTGAAGGTGAAATTTTGAATGTCCAATTTCCATAACAATACATAACTAATGATGCTGACAATGATTTCCATCATCAGTACCACTATGCTAGTTGTCCCATAATAATTGTTACACTGACATATATATTTAATACACTAAATGTAACAACTATTATGGGACAGATATAATAGTATCATAGAAAATTAAAGTTATTTAAAATAACTGAACGAGATAAACATTTGTGGGTTTTTTATTTGTAGAAAAGGTATGAATATAAAACTCTTCAAGACAAAACAAAGAATAAAATTATGAAACATGGCCAAAACTTGTCACCAATCTGCATTAAACAAACTGAATGTGTTTTGTGGGTCTCAATCTACTAAGCAAACTGATATTAACAGAGTGAAAAATCATTTGAAAACAAAATAGAAAAGACTAAATATTTTTCAAAAACTTACTGTCTCTCCAGGAAGTGGAACCAATCTTCCTTCTTTAGCTGTTGTTAAGGTTTCCTCGAGTTCTTTATCCAGTTGGTTCAGCTCTTCTAAAGCGCTGTCTATCTCTAAAGCACGACACATATCAGTAGCCTACAAAAAAAAAGGATTTTAAAAAAATCATATAAAAGGAGCACTTTTTCCTTTCTATTTAATTGTTGGCACTTTCAAATTAATCAAAAAAAAAAAAAAAAAAAAAAAAAAATTGTTTGGAGTCATGCCCACATTTGCATATTGTACTATATATACAGAATGTGATGAATAAATTATTGTCTAAATTATGAAAAAATTAAAATAACACTGAAATCACATTTTAACAGATATATTTACCAAAATTACACAAAAATATCTTGAAATACTAAAGAGTAGATTTATTTAATAAAAATCGACATTGGCTTCAACTACGACCCCCAGACAACTTCAGAATCTCCTGTAACTCTTCTGGACAGTCTCCTTGTTTAAATTACTGAATGCTGTCATAATCCTAGTCTTCAGTTCACCTTTGGTGTTACAAGGAGTTGGTCTCTTATTCAACTGCACCACACACACAATAATCAAGGGAATTGTGGTCTGGGGAGTTAGGTGGCCAGATATAAGGAGTGATGCAGTCGTAGAAATCGTCTGACAACCCTGACTGAGTTCTCCAGCATGGTGGAGAGTCCGGTTGCCAGATATAGGGTCTTCCAGCAGCCACCCTCTTGATCCAGGGCAGCACTACCTCCTTAAGGCACTTGATGTAGGCCTCCAGTAATAGTAACTCATTACAGGAATGATAGAAAGTTAGAAAACTTTATAAAAGAAAACTTAAAGGGAAAATATTTTAAGTTTCAATTGTCTCAATCTTTTGGTCATGTAGACAACAATGCCACATGGCTATCAATATAGATATTAGTGTACTTGTGTCACCAAAAATGATGGCAATTGTTAGAAAGTTTTAATAGTGATATACAATGAAACAAAAAAAGTCTCAAAACAATGTGTTGAGATTCAATAAAGTGAAGATAAGGTATTCGTAATTAAAATAAGAGGCTAATGAACCGTTTAATTAATCCATTCCTTTTATATTTTTTTAAACATTCAGAGGTGATTCATTGATTACGCCTGGTATTATATAAAATCACTTTTTGTTCAATATCTTTTCATGTTATAACTTTTTATGTGTTTAATATAAAAGTGAAATGAAAATATTTCTCGGAAGAAAAAAAATTGCAACAGAATAACAAAAACAGCAACAACAAAGTCTACTTCAAGACCAAGTTGAAGCAAGATGATCACTTAATAGATAAAAGGTATCTGAGTGCCTCACATGAGTGCCTCACATGAGTGCCTCACAAATAAGACTGCAATCTAAGAAATGTAGAAGTAAAGGAACTGATGAATTAAACTGTTTATTTTGCTTGGGAAGTAATTTCCTCTAAATGCAGATAAATATTTTATTTGTATAAATCAGTGTTTTTTAACCGGTATTCCCTGGAAGACTAGGGTTCTGCAAAAGGTTGCTAGGGATTCCATGAGACAGTGATAAATAAGCTAATGCATTTTTGCGTATTTTTTTGCTGAATTTTATATTTGTAATTTTACTATACATGTATGGCATATTGTTGAAAAATTCTTGGTTATTATAATAAAGGCTTCAAAGGCTTATATTATTTCAAATTATAATAATCATATATAATAATCTATACTATACAGTAATAAAATGTCTAAGGGAAGTAATCACTAAATTTACTAACTTAAATATAGTAAATTTATTAACTTGATTTACCTCCCTTCCCACTACAGATGGGACAGGAAATATACAAATAAATACACATTGATAATTATTATATTATTTGATTATCTGTGATCATAATTTTGAATTTTAAAATAAAGTTATGTAAGAAAAGATTTGGAAACTGACCTTTCCAGTACATGACCTGAGCTCAGCCAATGCAGATGACATTGTCTTGACGCAGTTGGTCAGATTGAGAGCAGCTGCTGGATCAATAACTGTAGGTAAAGCAGCATTGGCGGCATCTATCAATTTGATACTGGGCTACAAAAACAGAGAGAATGTGAAAACAACAGCCTCATTTGTCAAAAAAAAAAAAAAAAAAAAAAAAATAAAAATAAATTACTGAGTAAGTAACCCACTGACTAGAGGAGAAGCTCCATTACCATTCCCTAAATTTAGCAACAATTTTAATTTTCAGAGCAATTAGCAAAACATTTTTTTCATTTTTTTTCTTTCTAAGTATGATTTTAAATAGCATAAGTAAAAAAAAATCCTTACTAAAGAAAATGGTTTAGAGGGAAACTGAAAAAAAAATAAATTAGAAAAATCCACTTTGGGTGATAGATTTCAAAACCAAGTACAAAGCAGAATCCAACACTTGATGTAGTCTTTAGTTTTTTTTTGTTTTTTTTCTCCTTTAGCTACACAAATATAGCATCAAAACAAAGATCTGTCATGTTCTGGTTCTTTTTTGAAAGGGAAAAATATCTTAAATTTCCCTCTTGGGCTCAATAGTTTTTGGACATTGTTTGGCTGGAAGGGGAGAATGTCAATTTGATTCCCTCATTTACAGAAATATATATATATATATATATATATATATATATATATATATATATATATATATATATATATATATATAAAATTTTTGTCATTCAACTGATGTGAGCTGTATTTCCCATCAGCCAGAGTTAAGTAATTTGCATCCAAGAAATAAGTTGAATACTGGTTACTGAGTTTTGAAACAAATAAGAACATTTATGGAAGAAAATGTTATGCAAATTTCAATGTTGTGAATGTTTTTGACTTTAAATACTCAAAATAGATTGGTTTGGTCAGATTTTGTTTAACAGCATGTCAAACCTGATGGATTATTTTATGCCAACCATATTCAAAATAAATGCCACTTTTAAAAACAGAAAAGAGTCTTAAATGATAGGACTTTAATAAAAAAAAAACTTGGCAATTTGAAAGTTCCTACCTAAAATTTAAATTGGTTAAATTCTATATCCAGCAAGAAAGTACATGCATGCAATGATTTTGTTAATCACTCCAAAAAGAGCTTTCAGCTCTCATTTTTGGAGCTACATAATTTTAGTTAGACAAATTATATTTAATGTTCATAAACTTAATAAATTTTATGTAAATGGCAGAGTTAAATGAAGACTTAACTATGTTTCTGATGCCATCCAAACAAGATATTTGAAAGATGTATATTTTGAATATTCTTATTGTATTTTTTTAGAAACTATGTCTTCTATGCAAACACTAATAACAATTAATTTGATATATATATATATATATATATATATATAGAGAGAGAGAGAGAGAGAGAGAGAGAAAGAAGTTGCAAATTCAAGAGAATTTATAAAGGAAACTAGTTTTAGTACCTGAATAAAATTTTGACAGGCATTGATAAGATTTAATTGATAAGCAGGGTTTTCTGGATTCTGACTTGTTCCCTTTACACCTTGTACGACAGAAGGGACCTGTTCAGAAACAGCCTGGAAGAAAGAAGAAAAAAGTTATGAGTAAAAAACCTAGAGAAAATATAACATGGTCAATAGAATAATTTTAAAAGATGCACAAATTCCTATGCACTGTTTTAGCTCAGATTCCCAGACTGGGCAATACTCCACCCAAAACAGTGGAAAGATCCAAAGGAAGAATGACTCAAAAGGTGATTGTTGAAGAGTTCCAAAACCTATATAACAGAATCAAAACAAGTTCTAAACACTAAAGTAATATTTATGCTGTACAAATAATTAAATTATTAAACATATAGCAATATGTATTTTTTATTAGACAATGAATAAATAATTTTAATGTTTTCTCTTTTACATAAATTACCATCAAGAACACTTTCATAGATTTTTAAATTTATATATATTGGAACTAACAGTTTCAAAACATCTAGTCTGTTTCTCATATTATATAGTAAAGACCAGTTCTACTTGACATATTTTTTTTGCACTTGTAGAATAACTAATACTCTGGAACATACTTTAAATTTTAATAAGGAAAAATTAGCCATGAAATTTGAAACTAGGACAATAATAAAGAAGTCTCCTGAAATAAGTATTTATTTTTAAGACATTACATTGTATATTTAAGTTGTACAGTTTTCATTTAAACGGATTTATGAAGAATCTATTTTTTTTTTTTTGAGGAAGGCAAAGAGAAAGGATTATCCACTCCTTCTTAAAGATTAAAGAATTTAACATCCAGTTTAAAATATCAAATGAAAAACATTTAACTTATTCATGGAATCCATGTGCTTAGTGTCTCTAGCTTTTAAAAAATAAAGATTTCTTAAATATAACAATTCATAAATTACTCTTCTGATAACTTGGGCTGCACCTGGCTATGCTTCTATCAGTTGAGAAACTGATATGGACCTATCTACTTTTTCAAAAGGATAGTAGGTCATCCACATGGACATTTTCAAATAGTTTTCTATTTTTATGGTCTAAAGTAATAGTTAAAAGTCTGCATGTTTGTTTCTCTCTGCACCAAAGTTTATGTAGTAGATGCCATAGTGACTCATGATCTTTGTAGTTTCATGCCTGTAAGAGTTAAGTAAGTAGGATCATAGTGTTAGAGTAAGGGTTATTTTAAATTTGCAGTAGACCTATCACCAAGAAATAAATATGTGTGGGTAAGTAGTAATGTAAGTAGTGAAAGGAATGTAGAATGAGAGTCAATAATTTAAGTCAGTGGTGAAAAAAAAAAAAGAAAAAAAGTGAAAATTGAGAAACTGTGGATTATATTCTTTTATAGCAACAACTAAAAGTAAATTACTAAAATCTACCATATTTAACAAATGTCAATTTCAAGATATTAGTGCTAGATAAGAACAGGTACAAAATGTGTATGCACACATGATTATAAATTTTTTCAAAATTATAAGAAAATGGTTAACTTGAGACCTATTATTTAAAATAAATAATTTATCTAATTCAAAAAATAAATAATTAAAAAAAATAAATATATATAAAAAAAAGAAAATAAAAATTCAATAACATTTAACTCAATAATCACTTTTATTTATGATGCTTTCAATTCTATCACTTAATGTCCTCTATAGTTTACTTTTACTTACAGTTAGCTTTAAGAATATTTTAGAACATTTTTAAAATGTTAAAGTTTTGAAAACTTAATATTTTTACTTCTGTTTATCAGTACATATTGCAAAATAATATCCTTGCATATACCTTGATAAAGTCCATCAGGGGACGAAATGTGTTTATAAAAAAAGTTTTACGTTTGTCTTTATTCATACAAATATATTTTATTTATATCTGATTTTTTGCACACACACATTTCATATTTATATACACACACATATACATACTTATTCTTAACTAAAAGTTTTTTGTTTTTTTAAAAATTTGCAGTGTATTTGCATATGTAAATGCAAAATATTAAGTACATATTTATGAGTGAGAAAACCAAGTTGTACCATCAACAGGAAAAGTCTGACTTACCTTACATTTAAACATTAAGTTTTGTTGAGTGGTGGAGTTAGAATTGGTTTTTCCTGCAGTATTGGCAGAGCTGATTAACTGCATGGAGGCAGCAGTAGCCTGCTTAGCAGCCGACTAGACAAAAACATTAAATACATAAGATAATGTTTACAAATAATAAAAGGCAAGGTTTAACAGGGAATAGAACAAATTGATAAAAAAAATCTAAAGTTAAAACTGATTCTATTATTATAAGATAAGGATTAGAAAAATTAAAAGAAATAATGGAAAATGGAGAAAAAGAATTCACATTACATATCATCTGAGATGCAATTTCAGAGGATAAAAAAAAAAAAGAACTTACCAAAAAATATTTTATGTGAAATGATGCATTGGAATTATTAGAGTAAGAATTTTAGCCTAACATCAAAATATGCTTATAAATTATTAAAAAATATTGTATTAAATATGATATGTAATGAAAGAAGCAAATTATAAATTAACTGTATGACTATTTATGTCACTTGATGATCAGAGATAAATATAAAATTTCAAACTTGGTTCAAATTGTGGTTATGATTGAACGATAAATGCAAACAGATATTATAAACGGAATCTAAGGGAGATAACTCAATTTTTTAATGGAATTTCAGTTATTTCCCTTAGTGAACCTGTTCTTTTAAAATAAACTAAACTAACCTCCAATCTGTTGATGAGTTTTTTCTTCAATGCATTGCTGGCAGCAGCGTTGGTGGCAGAGCGTAATTCTTCAGCAGCCACACGGAGTACACCTTGTTGGTTAGAATCGTTGGGATTGGAAGCACAGCCCTACAGTGGAAGGAAAAGAAAACACGATTTAAGAATTAAAGATGAAAACAGTTTTTGGAGGCATTTATTATACAGTTTAGAGAATAGGAGCCAGTTTGGAAGTACACTCCTTAATAACTATTACAGGGATGCTATTGGGTCCACATGATTTGTGGGGATCAAAGTTAGCGATGATAGCAGAGACTATGGAAGGGGTTATATGCATATCACTCTGCAGAGAATCAGTTCTAAGTGGGAAGTTAGGCAGGGATACTTTAGATGAGTCAAGAGTAGAGTTTGAAGAGAATTTAAAGGCAAAGTATTCAGCTTTATCAGCAGAGGATGATAACATCTCAAATTGATTGAGGAGTGGGGGAATAGAGATCTTGCACTTAGACTGAAAACTTCTATTTCTGCAAGCTTAAATTGTGAAGGATTTTAATCAAAAATTGTTTCTTGTAAAAGAGGTGACCAAGAATGTCTTCTTTCATAACTTCAAAATTCAGTTTATGAAAGGAAGGTTCTTCACAGTGCATGAAAATTTCTGAGCGATGTTTGGATTTTTATGTACAAATTTTCGTTTTACAAGTTTATAAAAATATAATTACTTATATTTTTATTTACAATTGTTTTATTTATGTCATATGACAGTAAAGATCAGGACAACAGTCTGACCAAAGTAAATAGTGTAAATAGTTACAATATCTCATCCTAGAAATATAGAGTTATATTTTTACTTATGTCACAAATGTTAATGAAAACCCTTTGAGTACTAACAGAGATTTGAAAAGCAAGCATCTTTTTTATTTTTCAAAAGATGTTGTTTTAATATTAAAGAAATGTTTAAGTGACTGTCAACTATTATCAATAGTAAGAGCTTTACATTATTGTTGCTAGTGGCTACTGAAAAAAACCAATGAAGAAGACCTTTAAAAAAAAAAAAAAAATTCTATTTGGTCAGATTTTGGATAGTGGATCAAGTCAAAAATTATTCAGCATCCACTCCTATTGTATCGACTTTGTACTTTTGTAAACAAAAGTGATTTACGTATAATGGAACTTTGTTGTATACACCTTAGAGAAGAAAAAAAATCAGGTGAAAAAATTGGTAATAAAAGAATTTTTGCTTGGAATAAAACTACTCAGAAAAAAAGAAGTATCTTGCTTCTTAATTAGATAATAATAGCTAGAATTTATTTATGACTGTTCTATTGATAATGTCATTTTCAGTCAAGAGAAGGTACTTACCTTGGCTGCTTCTACCATTCTGGCTGTAGCATCGGCCAATTGCTTAGCTGCAGCCAGAAGTCTCTTTTGCATGTCCATATCTTTGTAAGTTTTTGCTTGGATTTGAATGGCACACACTAATTGTGATGTAGCCTGAAAAACAAGACAGAAACATTTCAGGAAGATAAAATTGCTAAGCACATGAATTAAGAAAATGTAAACCAATCAATTTCTACATCAACACTCATTTTAACACTTAGCACAAAATAATTTCAGAAATAATTTAAGAACAACCATTTCAGAGAGAGAGAGATTAATAAGGCTTAGAGTAGGTAATTTTTTTTTCCTTTTCTTATCTTGACATTATAGCATTGCTAAACATACAAATCATATATTTAAGTCCGTAGAGTGCTTATGTTGTTAAATTATCCTGTTATTTAATTCAGATCCATAAATAAAAGTTTTCAGTTTCTAAAATATTCTCTCCTAAAAGAAAATAGTCTCAGGATTGTATTGTAGAAATAGAAATTCTTGCTCTTTACAGTCAAATCCAAAAATCAAACTTCCTTGTACCAAAACCTGTTAATTCATGAAATAAGGGCTTCATAGTAATAATGAATTACAATCTGAAAAGGACAAATAATCAACTAAATTTGAGGATAAAAGGGTTTGTGTTAAGAAAATATAATCTTGTGATTTAGGAGAGAGAGCGATGAAACTTCTGGCTAAAATATTTTAAAATCTATTTTTTTAGGTTGAATTTTTAATATTCAATATTTTTAATTGACACCATCTTTGTTATTGGATTGGATAAAGAAGCATTAAATATCTTAAAGGTTCAAATGAAAACAGATTCCATATTGTATGTATTTCTTAAATATGTTCAATGTAATCATCACCTTTGTATACATCTCAAATTTTACACAAGAATTAGTACTGAAGTTGTGCTTGGAACTAATAAATAGAAAGGACAATGATAATTGCAGAATTGGTAGATTTCTTGAATATCAAAATAAAATGATGCATCTTTGTTTAATTTTACATTTTTTTTAGTTGTTTAAACAACACTGGTGTTAATAGTGAAGCTGCTTAAAATTTAATTTGAGTACAGTTGGTAATATACCAGTTGCTTATAAAAAAAAAAAAAAAAAAAAAAAAGAAAGAAAGTAAATTGTATAGTCAACTTACCTGTCCCAACATTTTGGCTTGCTTCACCATTTCATGAGCATCTCCAACACTGCTGAAGAGACGATCAGTTGCTGTTAAGATAGTATCAACAGCTTGTTCATTTTGGCCACCCTAACATTGAAAAAAAAAAACAGAGAAATTGATATGAAACCAAAAACATATTTTTGCAGTGTAAGAACTTTTTGGGGATAACAATTTTCTGATACAAGTCTTACTAAATCATAGCTGGGGGGAGAAGCAGTGGATTCGTACCTTTTACAAGTGTATTTGCATGTAAGTGAATATAACGAACCTGACTGGAATATGAACTCGACTCTCAGATTTCTTATCCCAACCCTTTATTCATTTCACCAACCACATGCTCAAGATAACAGCACCTGGTATTCTCTAGTGGGCACCCATTTAGGTACTGACTGGGTTCAACATTGCTTAATTTCAGTGATCATATGAGAACTGGTGTTTCAATGTGATATGGCCATAAGCCAAACTGAAGATCCATTTCTCTATGATTTACATAATAAACTGATGACCAAAATCAGAAAACTCCTTTAAAATATGCAACTTTCAACTTAAGAAAATCAATAATGTCCTAATGTCAAAAACAGTACTACAGCATAAATATAGTATTTTGATAATACAGAATTGATAAGAATTTTAGAGAAAAAAAATATCATTCAATTCAAAATCACAAATCTCACAACATATTAGGGTCATTGGGCAAAAGATTGAGTGCAGTCATAGTAGCACTTAATGAATCTAGAACAAAACTGCCTGACAATCACTCTTTAGGCTAATCTTAAATTCAGTTTTATGCATCTTAGACTGGTGGCTTTCCAAACCAAGAGCCCAGTCTGCCATACTATTTAACCCATAGCTGGAGGAAGATAGATTCATGCCACTTCCAAAGCTATCAGTACGAAAGGAATAAAACGGACTTGATCAAAAATTTTGATTCTGTATGCAGATTACACTCCCTGCTGATAACTGTAATCTTAATCACATCTCAGCCCCAACCCCTCAGGCAATTATGAAGAAGGGAGAGAAAAAGCAAAAAACAAACTTTCAATGAAAAGCAATGACAAGTGTTGTCCAAGAAATAAAACAAATCTTACCTCACCAACTGAGGAACCGATTTTGACATGCTGGAGAAGATTATTAAGAGCCTTGGTAACAGCTGTGGCAGCTGCCCCCAAATCAGAAAGGAGACGGTCATCTTTGCAGGCATGCTAAAATAAAGTCAAATAGGTATTAAGTGTTAAGAGGGTGTATGTGTATGTGTGTGTGTGTATGTAAAATGAAATTACAATGACAATGTATCAGTCAATTTTTTTTTTTTTTTGTACCAAAGAGATAGTACAGATCATTATATTTTTTTGTTTTTATAAATTTACATGAGAACTGAAGAAAATAACAAAATAAGAATTATTTTTCCATGCCTCAAAAATCTTTTAAATAAAAGCTCAACATTTTCAATTTCAGGATTTCTTGCTGAATACCCTTATAGCCTGAAGATTAATTGATAAAAAAAAAATTTAGAGAACATTCTCTAAAAAGTTCATTAATAATGAAGTTTCAAATTGTAAAAATTAAGAAAGTATAGAAAAAGCAACACCTAATCAAATTATGTATGAACTTACCTTAGAGGCTTCTACAATTCCATCCACTGAAGTAGCCACTTGTTTTGATGCATCAAACAATTGCTCTCGGCAAGCTGGGCTACTAATAGTCGGAGCAACGACCTAAAAATGAAATAAGGAATCGGTATTATATTTTAGATCCAATATTAGTTCAAACAATTTCTCAGACATTATTACAATTACCTAAACTATGTCAACCTTTATGTAAATGGATGAGAAATCTTTATGAATTTATTATGCTCATACGAACGTTTTAATGATCATTTTCATTTTAATATAACAGAAATTTTCCTTTTCCACCTTATTCATTTTTATTATTGATCTTCTCATATCATCTTTGTTAATAAAAAAAATACTGTTTACTCATCTCTGACATTTGGAGATGATTTGTTTCTGTTATTGAATCAAGAAAGTCATTTTTTAATATTACATCAGTGTATTGCTGTACAACTAAAACATTTTTAGTCAGATTCTTGTAGCTTTTCATGCAATACCTGAGTTAGTTAATTTCTCTTCCATGTGTTTCGACCTTTGACTTTAAGGCAGGTATTTTTTTTGTTTGTTTAACAGCAGTTAAACTCATTAAGGGTCATTTAATGCTGAAATTTAAGTTTTCTGGGGAGCTTTGAAATAATAGAAATATGATATGTGTTATTCTGCTTTCACAGTTGGGCACATGGTAGATGATACTTGGCTTTCATGCATATACATGTTTGTATGGACATAATTACTAGAGGTGGTGATGTGTGTGTTTTATGTTGTAGTTTTGTTGAAGTTATATTTTGGAATACAGTTTGATTTCTTTCAGGAATTGTTGGATATTATATGGATTAATGTTATGAAAGAATTCTTTCATGTTGGTTGTTTGGTTGGTTGATTTTTGTTTAGCTGCATATCAACACCTCTATGGGTTATTTAATGCCAAAATCTAAATATTTTGAACACAATTTTATGGCTTCAACTAAATATATTTTTTGAATGGAATTGTATGACATGCTTTTTCTTCCTTTTCTTACTGTTTGAAAACTCTGTTAATTCTGTTTGTTGAGAATTTTGTCAATTACACTTAACCATGGCCAATTACTCCATCAAAGTCAAACTTGGTAAGGTAAATATTTAATGTAAATTGGGTGGGGCAGGAATATATCATCAAATATTGTATTCACTTTTTTTTGTGTTGCCCTATTATCTCAACATGACTTATCTTAGATTTATGAACAAAAAAAAAAAAAAAAAAAAAAAAAGCAGTGTAAAATTTAAATATAAAACAAGCAAGCAACCCGAATCTATGTTAATGTCCAAGTGTTTATTTTAACTCACCTTAGTACAGGCTACTAGATGAGAAGTGGCCAGTGCGCATTGTGTAGCAGAATTGATCACCTTATTCTTGAGGGCTTGGTCTTCACACTTTCCAGACACGTCTTGGGCCCGTAGAACCAGACTGGCTGTAGCATTAGCCACTGCCTTCGCCAGGGCTAAAAGCGTGTCCTGAGGAGAGAACATTTTGATATATTATTTCATAATCCAGTCATTTCTTCAAATATTTTAATAGCCACCAATAAACATCAATAATCTTTTATAGGATTTACTGTTTTTTTTGTTTAAAAAGAAAAGATTTTCATTTTGAATTTCCCTTTTTAAACAGATCATATTTCAACGGTTTAGCTTATCAAGCATTTACAGGTTATTTAAAACCAAAAAATACTTTTAGAGTGTATGAATTTTTTTATTTTTAGATAATAATGATTTACTGATACAAGTCCTACTAATTAAATTATAGCTTGGGAGGGGAGAAAGATCAGATTTCAAGCAGCTTATATCACTGCCATAGTTTAAAAAGTAAGATGTTAAAAGGCTTATATATTTACTACTTCAAATGTTATTTTTAATGGATACCTGTATTTCAGTAGACACACTGTTTAATTTAAACAGTATTTATTTCATCTACTAGCCTGAGAAAATAAGTCCTCAAGCAAGATGAGAAGAAAATTTGAATACGTAAATATGCATTAAAGGCAAATAAGAAGCGTGCTTGATTTTGAAGCTCTCTGTAGCAGAATACTCAATGCATGCCTTGTCAAATGGTGGTTTCTCCTGTAAAGAGAGATGCAGGTTCATATCCTGCCAGAGGGCACATTTTCTTAATCAGTTTTCTTGAATACACAGACCAGTAGACAAAATAAATTCTGTTTAAAATAAACTGAGCACCTATTCAAACACGGTTATCCACTAAAAATAATGTTTAAAGTAATAAAA